GAGGGGAGGGGAGGGGGGATGCGGGAGTTATATAATATGGTGCGAAAGTCAAGAAGGGAGCCCAATCCCCGACATCCAAAACACTACCGATGTGTGTATCTATGTGCGGGGGGGGGGGGCCCAGGGGAGCGGGAGCAGGGGGAGTTATATGACGACAAGTCAAGGACAACAAGTGGCCACAGCAAGGGGGCCCCGGGCCGGGATCGCGGGTGCAGCGTGGGCAAGAAAGGCAAACGGGAAGAGAGAGAGAGAGAGAGAGAGAGAAGGAGAGTTTACACACGCAAAAATGCCATAAAGTGGTGGTGGTGGGGGGAAGAGAGGCGAGGGGATGTGGAAGAGTTGGGAAGGGGACGGGCTAAGGGGCGGCCAGCAGCAGCAGCAGCAGCGGCCTTGGAGGAGGATGAGGACGATGAAGGGCAGGCCGTACCGGAGCATGAACACACATTCTCCCCCTCCACCTCCCGCACTCTCTCACCCGCGTCCAACGCCGCATCCGCTGACGTGGCCGCCACCACGGCCCCCAGCTCCCGACGGAGAGCCTCCGTCAGACTGGACAGCGCGGCCTCAGCGGCCTCAGCGGTGGTGGAGGCATCGGAGGCGGCCGCTGCTGTTGCGGCGGGGGCGGCGGCGGTGGCGGCGGAGTCGGCTTCCATGCCCGCGGGAGTCGCGAGAAGGTTCTGCGGAACAGGTACGAGGTGGCAAGTGTGGAGTGGTGTGTGCGGGGGATGGGGTTTTGAAGGTGAAAGGTTCGTTTGCGGAGGAGGTATGGGGGCGGGGGGGGAAGAGCACAGAGCCGGTGTCCTTGAAGACGCCCCTCTCTCCATCCCCTTTCCCTTCCTGTCCGGCTTCTTTCGCCTTCACCTTATAGCGCTCTCCCGTCGTTCTGGATTCCACCTGGATTCTCTATCGCCATAATACCACATCCATATTACGGCCCTCCTGGGAAGCAGCTTCCTGACAGAGCTATGCTGCTGCTGGGCCCCTCCAAACACATGGGACACGTGGGGCCGTGTGCTGTTGGGTGACGGGGCCCGGGCCATCAGAGCGGTGCCGGGCCCAGTGCTCCACCTGTCATTGCGACTTGGAATAGAATCCTTTGGCGATTCTAAACCTTGGATCTGGATCCTAGATCTGGGCCAGGTGGACGGTGGGCGGCGCCCCCGAATGCGGTGTACTGTGCTACTTTGCTGGCTCGCGGTACAGATCCTGAAGGACCATAACCACCATCACCACCACCGCCATACCTGCAGCGCAGTGGTCAGCTCGTCAAGCTGCTGAGTGTCCAGTGGATCCATGCCGTACACGCCCATCTGTCCGTCGGCGCCAGCGCCCTCCCCAGCCATCGCTGCGGAAACCGCCGTCGCCGCCGCTGCGGCTGCCGCTGGCTCGGCGCTGGCGGAAGGCAGCGTCGCGACGCTGGGCGGATTGATGGTGATCGTACCGGCGGCGGCGGTGGTGGCCGCCTCCACAACCGCCAAGGCAGTGGCGGTGGCGGCGTCGGCGACCGAGGGCGCGGCGGAGGCGGTAATGATTGGGGGCAGTACGGCCGCAGTGGCGTCGACGACGGCGGACGACGCGGCGGCCACGGCGGCATCGGCGGCGGAGGCGTCCGGCACCATTGCATCCAGGGCACCCTCCGCCGCACGGACGCTGTCGTACGGGTCCCATGCCAGGTTGCCTGCCGCTACCGTCATGTCATCAACGCCATCGAGCTCCATGTCGTACTCTTCACCAGCGCCGTACTCAACGCCAGTCGCCATCGCGAGCTGCGTCTGACTCTCGTCCGGCTATTCACGGTAAGTGGCGGCGGCGGGTATGACGGCGCGATGCAGACGGTCATGCCAGGATAATTACGAGGCGTATTTATGTATGTATGATGTGTGGGACAGGGGGGTCATATCTTCACCCTGTGGCAGCTACCCTGCGAAACCCTGCCTTCCCCGGTATTTTGGGCACCCTCATCCAGCCACACAAGTCAGTGGATCGCTCAGGCTCCACACCCACCACCACCAGCATCCAACGGAATCTGCCGGATCGACGGCGGCCCAACTCCATTCCTGGTCAGCTCGCAGGTCAACTTTATCCCAAGTCACCACCGTCCATCGACTACAGGCGCATTACCTTCCACCATCGGAAGGATTTTCGACCCTGATAGGTCTCGATCCCGGGATCTCCCGGGGGCATTGGTGCGTGCTCTACCAGTAGTGCCTAACCTGAGTATGTATGTATGTTAGACAGTGAGTCTGCAGCAACCCCTGGAGCCATTAGGAGCAAAGGGTATCCAGACCCTGTCGCAGCCCTCCCCGTCCGTCTTCAACTGATCGCGTGCCACTCACCACCACGAGGGCCGTTCCGCCGCTGCCGCCCCCGGAGGGAACGCGGGCGGCGGAGGCGGCGCGCGCTGCGGCGGCCGCCGCCGCTGCCTCCGCTGCGGAGTGATACACTGACGCCGCAGCGCGCGGCAGCTCCTCCGCCGCCCCTGCCAGACCCGCCGCCGCCGCCATCGCCGCCGACAGTACGGCATCCTGCGCCGCCGCCGGGTTGATTTCCTGGCTCAAGCTGTACAGCAGGTCCTCCAACACCTGCATTTGTAGGGCGCCGCAACGTACCAAGCTTGCAACGCCCCACTTGGGAGATCTCCCCCCCTGTAACAGGACCCCGGTGTGCATCTACATCTGCATCTACAGATGAAAAAGCGGATGACATGAAGCCGCGACCTGTTGTGGCGACTGAACATGTGGCCACGGTATCATTACGCGCCGAGGAAGACCGAAGCCGCGACCTGCCGTTGCACCCACCATCGGCATATCCTCCAAACCCGCACCCTCTCCCCCCCACACACATTCTCGCGTATGATAACCCCCCTCTCCCCTCCCCCCCCCCAACACACACATTCCGCCCATCCCGGCCCATCGCACTTCGCTCAGTCTATCGCCTCCTGGCACCGCCGCCAGCAATCCGCCAGAACCAGAACCCGCAGCCCCTCCGGAGGCAAGGCCCAGGCCCCCAGGGCCCGAGCCCAGGCCACCCGACAGCGAGACCGGCAGTGCGGGGCCCGCAGCCAGAGACTCGGCCACCTGCGGCGGCAGCAGCCCCTGCAGCTGTTGCGGCAGATCCAGATCCAAGCCGGCACCGGCGGCTATGCTGCTGCCGCTGCCCCCGTCGCTAGTGCTCGCGAGTCGGGCTAGGGCTTCCAAGGGACTGCGGCCTGGCCCGTCAGGAACCTGTAGAGGGGGAAAGTTCCGGAGGGAGGGCGTGGGAGGGGGGGAAGTGATGGGGAATGCAAGGGGAGGGGGTGCTCGACGGGAGACCTGAGGGCGGGAGACTTTCATCGCACGCACACACACACACACACACACACACGCACACACGAGCCTCTCTTCGGTCTATGGCGGTTGGTGTGACTATCACCAGCACCGCCCGCCCTCTCCCTCTCCCCGGTGAGGGGGAGCTCAGTGGGACTCCTCCTCCTCTTCCTCCTCCTCCTGGATGTCGACGTACCTCCTGGGATAGGGAGTAAGCCGCCTCTTCGAGAAGCTCCTCTATGGCCAGCCAGCCCGAGGTGGCGGCGGAGGCAACGGAGGCGGCTGCCGCCGTCAGACCAGCGGCGCCGCCGCCGACGGCACTGGCACTGGCCGCCGGGGGCAGGACTGCGGCAGCGGCGGCTATGGACGCGGTTGTCAGCGCGGCAGCCAGCGCGGCGCGGCCGACAGGTTCTGAAGCAGTAGCAGGAGACGCACTAGCGGTGGCGCTAGCAGCTGTAGCTGTACTGGTAGCTGCCATGTGGGCGGCGGTAACGCGGGTAGCGATAACTGAGGCGGCGGCCAACGTGCCGTAGGACGCGATAGGACCGCCACAGGAGGGGAGGGGCGAGGCTGCGCCTTCCCCCTGGGCGGGAGCGTCGCCCCGCTGGATGCCTATGCGTTGACTGGGGGAGCCTCTCGGACTTTCTGCAGGCGAGCCGCTAGGGCTACAGTAGCTCTGCTGGTCAAAGTTTGGCATGGGCATGGGAATGGACTGCTCACGCAGCCGTCGAGAAGCCTCCAGAAGCAATTTAGTCTGACGTAATAGGGGATCTTCAGACGCCTTGTACATCGGACGCGCGGACCGCAGGGGACGCTGGCTGTGCAGAATCGCGGCAGGGTCCGGCTTGTCACCCTGCCTTAGCTCTGTTAAGGAAGAAGCTGGACTAGAGGATGTGCCAGATGGGTTGGAAATTACTGACTGGATAATCGCTAGGCGTGGCAGAAGACCCGGCGTAAATCGACGTCGCCTGGTGGTTGCTCCGGAGGGGAGCCGCGTCGGCATTCTTCGCTGGTTGAGATATGCGCCCCAGGAAATACTTGGAACGTTCCCGGTTGCACCGGGTAGCATGGCTTTGTTGCAGCCCTGCATTCAGCCACTGACCAGATTGGATAAAGCTATGCTGCAACCTTACTCGTAGACAGCACGACGGCCGATATTGGCAAATCCTACGTTTTATTGCTAAATATGTGGTGGTCTAATTCACCAAGAGGTCACACAAACATGGGCCATTCGCAGACCTATACTTGAATCGTGGGACGGGAAAAGCTCGCGTGCCTATCTCTTCAAATGCATGTATATAATACTTGCTTAATTGTTCATATCAGCGCCTCAGCGGCACAGCATAGCCGTCAGTGAGAATTTTGCTTGTCGTGCTGCAATCGGATTCAGGTTGCCCTCCAGGCTCCCCCTGTAGGCGTTACCCGGTACCCACAGCTATTCGTGTATAATCATCTAGGATCATCTCAAAATTATCACGGCTAAAGCTGGCGATGTTTAGTGCTTAATTGTTAAATTAACATCGAATTGTGCAGGCCCCAAGCAGATCACAGACGGCTGACTTATTATCTCAAAAATATTCCGTGAGAACATAAAACGTATAACCTAGATCGCGCCGCTGACTGCGACCCGAAAACCAGCTGCCTCCTGCAGCCCCTAATCGGCCCTTTAGCTAAAGCTGCTTTGCGGCGACCGCACATCACACCAAAGCAAACACCCAAGCAAAATGGAGACGCGCTTTCAGTACGACCTGCACGACAAGCAGCTACGCTTCCATGTGCGACAGCGGGCCATTACGGAGAACAAGCTGGAGATGAAGGCGACCGGGCTGCTGGATCCGGGCAACTGCAACGCTAGGTACGCCAGCCAAGTAGCCCACCGGCTGAATTACTGCATTAGAACAGACCGAGACCCTTTGCATCCAACACTGGTCAGCCCAACCTGAGGCGCGCCGCCACCCTAGACCCCACATCGAACCCGACTCCCATCATCGACCTCCAAATCATATGACCCTCAATCGTGCTTTGCCTTTACCTTGCTCGCCACAAGAGCGCTTGTTTGTGCTAAACCCCTCAATCCAATCCCGTCAGCATCACCAACACATCTTCCGAACTCCGCTACCCACAGCTACCGGGCTGCCCTGAAGCAGTACGTGTCAACCTCCGGCGGGGAGTTCAAGGACTCTGGCAGCAAGCCGCTGAGGCTGGGTGAGGGGGCCCGCGTGCAGACATGTGTACGTGTGCGTGCGTGCATATGTATGTATGGTTTTTATGTGGAACGAGGACGGGGGGATTGTTGGGGGGAAGGAGGGGGGAGGAGGAGTCGGAAGTGGGAGAGAAAGGGAGAGGCAAAGATGGGGAGGAGGCAAGGAGGGTCTGCACGTGCTATTCCAACACCAGTGTTTTTAAGTTTTGTTTTTAAGTTTGCCTGTGTGCCATGTCCAGGGGCTGGTGTGGCGGTGGTGTCGCAGTTGGGAGGCGTGACCGCGAAGCCAGCAGCAACCCGCGGATCAGCTGCTGCCGCAGCGGCTAAGGGGGGCGCTCCTGCCTACATCCCCCTGCTCACTGTATCGGCGGATAAGAAGGTAGTTGCCGGGGGTTGGCGGTTGGCGGTTATGGTTGTCTTCTTGTTGTTTACGTGTGTAGGACGTTGTGGTGAACCTCCGACTGACCGACAGACGGACCTCTTCCCTCCACCTCCATGTCCCACCAAGTAAGCTCACTTTTACGGCCGGGCCTCCCGCGCCTCACCTGAACCCTCTCCCCACGTTTTCCACCCACCCCTTAATTACACACAAAAATACACATACACACGCACACACGCTCCCAGTTGGCTCTCCTGGAGGGTCCCGACACGGTGCTCACACTGCGGGCGGTTGCGGACTTTGACTTGACGGCCCGGCAGCTGGTAAGCGAGAAAGGGGGAAGGAGGGGGAGGGGGAGGGTGGGAAGGAAAG